CCTCAACCCTCGCTGTGATCCAGCCCCTGCAGGTCCCTCCAGCCTGGCCCTGTAAAGTCCATAATTAATGGCCAGTCCTATTTTACATCGAGCAATGAGAAGCCACAGCTCATCCCGCATCCTCCTCACGAGCTGCTCTCCCGTTTCCAGCCAGGACAAAGTGATGGATGCGGGATGGGAGCTGCCATCCTTCCAGGCTCCTGCAGCCCCAGCACTGGAGCCAGCTGGGCATTGGCACATTGGGGGGACACCCGGGGGTCCCACAGGGACAGCAGCCATGGGACCCCTCCTCCCCATTTTTCCAAGGGCAGCTTTCCCTGCTGGGGCTGAGGCAGCAGGAAAGCTCCACTGTTGATTATTTGCAAAGGCAAATAACCCCACAGGCAGCATCTCTTGCTCCTGGCTGTGGGTTCACACACTGCTTCATCTCCTCAGATATTCCCTGTATCCCTCCCCATCTCCATCTGTGCCAGGAGAAGCCAATCTCCAGCTGGGGCACCCCGGGAAGCCCTTTTCCTGCTGCTGGGCAGGGCTGGCACCCCACAGCACCCCAGCCCCTGCCTCTGCCGCAGGGATGAGTCCACCCCAGCTCTCAGCAGGATTCAGGGCTTTTTCCACCCCACTCCAGACACCACCTGAGCTCCCCCAGCCCCAGGGGGAGGAGAGCAGAGCCCCCTCCCAGCCCTTTGGAGTCTCCAGCTCGCTTTTCCTTCTGGCTCCACTTCCCTACAAAGACCCCAGAGCCACAGCCAGAGCCAATTTCCAGCAGGAACCTGGCGCTGGGCTCGCTGGGGAGGATTACACCAGGCTGCAGGAATTAGGGGGGAGCTGGGCTGAAACCGAAGCCTCGCTCGGCCCTTCCCAGCCAGGGCAGGTCCAAGGCTGGAGGCGATCGCTGGGATGGGAACAGGAGCTGCGGGATGGGAACAGGAGCCCAGCTTGTCCTGGCTCTGCCCAAATGCCATCCCTGAGCTCTGGGTGCTGTCCTTGGGAGCCAACAAAGGCTCAGCCACACTCTTCCATGGGGTGGGGTGAAGCGATGGGAGCCTGGATCACATCTCCCCCAGGTCACCTGCACCCTGCAGTCACAGTGTCCTCATTCCCTGTGCCTGGGGAACAGGGGAGAGGCACAGAGTGACCACTGAAATGGGGCAACCTCCCAGCCAGGTCCTGGCTCAGAGGAGGGATAACCGCACCACAGATTCCTGGGATTAGTGAGAGGCAGAACAAGCCCCTGCTGGGATTCCAGGATTGCTGAAAAGCAGGACAAGCCCCTGTCAGGCTCCCAGGATTGCAGAGAGGCAGAACACCCCAACACTAGTGGGATCCTGGGCTGGCTCAGCAGCAGCTCTCAGGGTGGCCACAGCACTGATATTTTCCATTTTTCTCTCATCCTCCATCAAAAACAAAAGGAAAAGCTCTGTGTTTCCTTCATACCCCCTTCCAGCAGCTGGGGGACCCTCTCCAAGGGTTGTGTTTCAGGAACATTAAAACCTTGCACATAATTAACTGATGTTTGCTGTAGAGCCACGTTCATTCCTTCTTAACGAACCAAAACCTACAGGATTTATCCTGAAGCTCCTTATTTCACTGGGACAAAGTTTCCTCCTCGTCCCCCCATGGTTTCCTAGCATGCTCCTTTGCCTTTTCCAGCCCTGTGACCCCTCCAGCCCAGCCCTTTCCTCACGGTTATCCCCGCGGGTTGCTGGCAAACCCAGGGAGGTCATTCACGGCAGCCCCTGCACATCCCGGCTGCCTGGGATATGACCAGGGAAGAGCCTTTTCAGGATGCTGGAAGCACTGCCAGGGGAAAAAGGCTGCAACCATCCCTGCTGGCTCCGGGCCTGCCTGTGGAGGAAAAACCTTGGCAGCGCGTGACGCTTTTCTCGGAGCACTTGAGCTCCGCTGGGTCCAACTGCGGGGCCTTTGTGCGAGCGGCGCCGGGCCCGCTCCACCCGGATCTGCTCCGCCTCGGGCACAGATGGCTGCCCTGGCACAGGGATGGGGCTGGCAGTGGCACAGGAACACGGGGAGAGCTCTGGAGCCCGACCCTCTGCCTTGCCAGCACCAGCTGTGCTCTTTTCCTCCTCTTCCTCACCCTTCTCCTCCTCCCATCCCATTCAGTGTCTAACACAGAGACCACCATCCACTTTCCCACCCCCATTCCATCCCCTACCTGTCCCTGTCCCTGCCCCATCCCATCCCATGCTGTCCCATCCCATCCCATCCCATCCCATCCCATCCCATCCCATCCCATCCCTGTGACAAACGGCCCCCCAGTGCACTCCCGTTATTGCTCCGTTATGGAGCCCACGGGACTCATTGCATTCCACGACAGCCTAATGGATCTTCCAGGCTCCTCTCCTTGGAAACCAGGTGCAGTCAAGCCAGTGGATGCAGCAGAAAGCCTGGCTGTGGGAAAAGCCCAGAGCCTCGACCAGGAAAACCTGTTAGTTATTTCGGATATACTGCAGGGAAAACAAGGATAAACTTCCCAGTCCTGGCAGCCACAGCTGGTCCAGCCAAGGTTTATGAACAGGAATTGCTGTTATCCAGCCCCTTCCAGGCTGGGGGGTTGATATGCTCCCCGTGGAAATGCCAGAGCAGGAGGCTGAGTGGGCTGGGAAGGGCGGATGAGGCCAGGAATGGGCTGCAGCAATGGGAGAATGGGATGTGATACTGGAAAGGGAACCTGGGATACATTGTCCTGCTCACCCTCAGCCACTCTGAGATCCAGGGAATACAGCCAAGGCTGGGAAGAACAGAGGCTGGAGGCACTGGTGCTCCAGCTCCATCCCTGCTGCCTCCCAGGGCCAGGTCATCCATGGATGGGCAGCAGCGGCTGCTGCTCAGGGCCTTGAGAGGAGTGGAAAGCTCCAGGGATGGCAATGCCTTGGCAGTGCTGGGATTAGGAGGGAGAGGATGGGTGGGACAGGGACAGCACCCTGTCAGCACCAGTGCCACCAGCACAGCCCCAGCACATGGAGCTGAAGTTCCAGGAATCCTGGGGGTGTTCCTGCCTCGTGCTCCCTGCACCAGAGCTCATCCTGAGCCCCACAGTAGCCCCAATGTCCCTTGTCCAGCAGAGTTTGGTCTCAGACTGGAGCTGGAAATGCTGCAGAACCATCATTCCCTGCTCACCTTCCTCCAAGGGGCTGTGAGCTTCCCATCCCTTAACCAGGCCATACAGGTGCTTCCCATATGGGCTCCCCTTCCCTGGGGGTTCCACCCTGGCCATGGCACTGCTCCTACCCCTGAGGTAACCCTGGCATCCCCCAAAAGCTCCTGCAGCAGGAACACGGTGTCCCCCAGTATTGTTATCCCCCCAAACTCTCCTGCACCAGGGACATGGTTACCCCCAGCATCCCAATCCCCCCAAATGCTCTGGCTCTGCCGGCCTGGCAGCCTCCCCACTCCCGAGTGGGATCCAGCCAAGGGCGAGTTAATAAACTCGACAAAAAGCTCCTTTATGTGAAATAATTAAAATAACTCCTCCAGTCCTGATGGACATCCAAAACCATCAGCAGCTCTGCAGCTTTAATGAACTTTCCAGATCCAGAGGCTCCCGGGTAGGATCCTGCCGATCCCTCACTGCCAGCCGGCCCCTGGGAGCGGAGTGGAGCCACTGCACGGCCTCAGCTCCCTGTCCCTGTGGGCACTGGCACCGGGTTTGATGTCCCCTCCCAGCACAGACAAGGACAAGGGTGCTCCCAACCAAACCTTCCCCAGCATGGGGACTTCTGCAGGATCTCACACCGGGGTGGGATCAGGAGGAGAAGCAGCTCCAGCACATCCCTGCCCTATGGGACCCCGTCTGCAGCTGCCTTGGGATACACATGGAGCACCAGGAGTGATCAGGGCCGGCAGGCTCTGCTCCCCCCAGTCCGTGCTGGTCCCACCCGGAGCAGCCCCGGAGCCGGAGGGACCCTCCCGCACTCCCGCTCCCGGCCGGGGGTGGGTTCCAGGAACCTGTTAAAACACTTTTCCCTCTGCTGGCAGGTCCCAGCACGTTTGGCACTTCCAGTTCTCCCTGCGGGCATCAGGGCCCAGAGAAGCTGTTTAGAATTAAAAGCCTTATTTCATTCCCACTGGGATCAAAGCAAGCAGGGAGGGAGGATTTTCAAACCAGCAAACCACATTTGAGCCCGGCTGGTGCACCCTGCGGCCCCCCCATCCCGACCCTCATCCCAGCATTCCCTGCTCACTCTTGGAATGGTCCCGAAGGTTCTGGCTGTGCCCAAGCAGCTCCGAACTATCCAGCTGTGTTCCATCTCCAAGGCTCCCCTCACCCCTCCGGGTCGGATGAGTTTCCTGGTTGGTGCCTCAGCCCCATTTTAACTCAGAGATCCCATGAACCAGACCCATCCCCTCCCATACCCGTGTGGTCATCCCAGAATCCAGCAGCCACAATTCCTGATAGGACAACCTGGACTGGAGCAGGTGTGGTTTGCACCAGGCAGGAACATCCATGGTTCCATCCTCGCCTAAAGCAACGCCAGGATGAGGAGAAGCTGGCCTCACTCTCTGCTTTTCCCTGTCCCTGTCTGGAGCAGGCTCATTCCTGCCAGGAATGGGACATCCCTGTCCTGTGCCACCCAGCAGCTCCCAATAGGCTCTGCCTGCTCCGGAGCACAGGAGCAGCACCTCAAGCCTGAGGGAAATCCAGTGGTTCCCAGGAGCCTCTGGCTGCAGGGACAGAGCCATGGAAACACAGAATTGTTTGGACTGAAAAACACCTTTAAGATCACCAGGTTCAATCATATCCGTGGAGTGCCCAACCATATCCATCCATATCCAACCCTGAGTTCATCCAATCCTGAGCCCATGCTGTAAATATTGGACAAAAATCTCCAAACCTTTTGTGACCAAACCAAACCCACCAGGTCCTTCTAGGACCAGCTGGTGAGGATCTCTCCCAGCCATCTCTTCCCAGATCTCTTCAGCTCAGTCTGCAGTTTCAAACCTGGGGCAGGAATAAAGCACACGAGAGACAGCCGGGATTCCATAGGAAAAAAACCCTTTTATTTAACAATATATCAGGTTCCATCACGGCTCCATGGAGTTCAGCTGCCACAGAGCTGTTACCGATGCCGATGATATGCTACTGGGCGGGAGAGCTGGGAGAAGGCGAAAGGAATCAAAACCAGGAACATGACAAGAAGAAAGAAAATCTGCGGTGCCGGGAGCGCGGCCGAGGGGATCCCGGCACCGCCGGAGCCCCACCGGGAGCCGAGCAGGATCAACCAGCGCGGGGATGCCGAGGCCAGAGCCAGGATGTGCCCCTGCAGCTGAGGAGGTTCCCCACATGGTGCCCAACCATTCCCGCTCAGCCCAAGCCCCATCCCGCGGGCCCGGCACCAGGAGCACATCCGGGCTCCAGCTCCGTATCCACCTCTCGGCAAACGGCAGTGGAGGGTGGACCCGGCTGCTCCGGCGGTGCCGTGGCACAGGGGAGGGGCAGCGGCAGCCCCGGCTGGTTGATGGCAGGGCCAGGCCCCTCGGGACAGGGGACGGCGCGGATGTGACGCTGTGGGATATGGAGGTGGCACAGCTCTGAAATGTGGGAGCGCGGTGAGTTCGTGCAGGGGCGCGGCATTGCCGGGATGGAGAGAGGGATGTCCATCCCTGCTCCAGCACCTCTGGAACCTCCCAGGAACCCTCTGTCGATATAATGCAGGTTCACAGCCCAGCTCCTGGGAGCAGCTGGGAGAACTGGGGGCTCCCTGATGCCTTCAAGCTGCCACGTGACACTGGAGCACTGGCACAGCCACCACCCCTGGACAGGGACCTTTCACTGTGGTGGGCACAGCTGAGAAGCCACCCCAGCCCAGGCACCAAGAAGAGATGGGGCCATGGTGAGCTGGCAGCTGACAACCAAACTAGGCAAACAGAAAACAGGGATAGTTGGGAAAGGGATCTCCACCACAGGCCCAGTAAAGCAGAGCAGGATCTCAGGATGTTGCATTGAGTTCTGCATCCCCAAGTCTGGAGTTTTTCGGTCAAAGATAAGAAAGCAGATAAATCTGATGCTCCTTTCGGTCACCATGTGTCCACAACTCTCTGCCCATGGCCAGGGCAGGGCTCAGAGCTCTGGGACTCACTGGGAATGAGCCACAGATTCCAGGATAGACTAGAATCCCAGATTCCTGCCTCACTCTCTGCTTGGAGCCCATCTGATCCTGCATTATATCGAGGGCAGGTCCCCAGTCCCGATCCCGGCAGTTCCCACACTCCAGCACAGCCCACAGGCTCCAGGCTGAGCTCTATGACAATGTTTTACACCCGTTCTTGTGGTTAAAATTTCTTTTTTTTTTCATCTTTTTTTTTTTAAGTTCTCATTTGTTTTTCTAAGAAAAAGCAACCAGAAAATAATTCGGAGTTTATACAAAACATCTTTACATTATTTCTTCCAAAAAAGACTAGTATTTACACAAACAAAACAGGGGGGGAACAAAAACATAAAAAATAAAAAAAAAAAAAGGAAAAATCAACCAAATTTCAATGCTTTCCATGAAAAGAACCCGAGGGACACACTCTGATCCAGGACCCAGCATCCCGAGGTGCTCAGCAAAAACCAAGAGTTCTGATTTCACCCTTTCTTCACATATTTACAAGGTTTTGCAGCTGTTCCCAGCAGCAGGAGTGGGACTGATGGAGACCTCAGCTGGGGACAGCCACCAGGAGAAGCCACCGGCACTGTCAGATCACTTCTGGTACAACCCGTGGCCAGACTTTGTCCCTTCTCCACCAAAACCAAAACAAAACTACATCGTCCCCTCATTTCCCCCTCCACTCCTGTCACTATTCCTAACGGATTCCACTGTCACTGTCACCATCACCACTGCCACCACCACCCAGCCAGGACTCTGCCTGCTTCGGGAAACACAGGCTAAGGTTTGGCAGAGGAAAGAGGGAAAGGGGATTTTTTTAAGACACAATTCTCTGGGATTTCCCCATCGGAGAATGGGGGTCCTGGTGGGGGCAGTTCCCAGGCCAGGATGGGCAGTGGATCCCACAGAGGAGAGAGGGATGGAAGGTGCTACATGGGGAAGCAGCGCTGGGATGGGGAAGCGGGGGGAGCACCCGCTGGGGCATGTCTCTCCCAAGGGAAGCAGCCGGTTCAGGGCCCTGGAAGCAAAACCATCTCGGGATGCCGAGGGCAGGAGGGGAGCTGGGACACCCTGCTCTGCTCCAGCCCAAATTCCTGCCCTAAACTGCAAACCCAACAATGTGACACCACAGGATGCTCCCATTCCGCTCAGGGCCAAACCCCAGCGCAGCAGCCGGGCCACTGGATCCTCCCGGGACCACCGGATCCTCCCGGACCACCGGATCCTCCTGGACCACAGACCCCCAGTCCCTGCTCTGCCCCCGCCCCCGCCCGCTCCTTGTCAAGGCACTTTAGCAGAGCAGCTCCCTCGCTCTTTGGGCACTTCCTAACGCGGGACTCGGGGCCCTGGGGACAGGTGGGAACAGCCCAGGCGGGAACAGCCCTGCCGGCCCCACTCCTGCTCCCTGAGCAAAAGCAGCTACTGCTGGAAGGAAAAGAAAGTGAGGAAGGGGGGACAGCTCAAGGACAGGCAGTGCCAGGGCATCGCCAGCCCCGCTGGGCTCACTGGCATCAGCCATGGTGCCGGTGGCTCCTCCTGGGAAGAGGAAGCTGGGAATGATCCCACCAGACAGGCTCAACCCCTTCCAGTTTTGGGCAGGAGATGGGCAAGGCAAGGGCAGGGGAGCCCGGGCTGTGGGACCCCCGGGAGGCAGCAGGACAGGGAATGCTCCTGCACCAGGAGCAGGGCGGGGAACAGGCACAGCAGGGCTGGTCCCCAAAGCAGGTCCTGCCAAGGGGCACTGGATTCTTCAGGTAAACCAGGAGGGTGGAAAAGCCTTTGGCTCAGTTCCCAACCAAGCCAAGCCTGGTGCTCCAGCCACTCGGGGGCTTCCAGCCCCAAGCACCAGCCTCCTCCTGACACCCCTGGCACGAGCTGCAGGTCGGGAATCTTTGTTTTCCAGTTTTCCTTTCCAAGGACAACCACCTGCAGTATGCCCAGCCTGGGAGGGGGCTGCAGCTTCCCCCTGCCACCCCCTACCTTGCTTCCAGCAGGCTCAGCCCCAGCCCGATAGAAAGCCAAAGGCTTTTTTCCACAGTGGGATGCTCCAGAGGGGTTGGGAAGAGCTGCCAGGCCACGGCTGCTCCGCGTGGGGCGGGAGCAGTGTCCGGCCCCTCGCGCACTGAATGCTTGAGACAGGGTGGAGATAGAATTTTTTTTTCTTTCTTTCTTTTTATAAAGAGACTAAAACAAGAGTCAACAGCTACGAACACAAAAGTTTCCAGGGGCAGCTGGGGGAGCGGGATCTGCCCCGTGGCCGGCGGGATCACGTGCTGGAAGGAGGTGATGGCGTGTGCCCGGAGGCGGCGGGCCGGAGTCCTGCCCGGAATTCACAAAAATAAAAATGTTACAAAAAAATTAAAATAATTATAATAATAATAATAGTAGTAGTAGTAAATCGGGTTTGCCAGCTTCCTCCCTGCACAGTTGTCTGCATCTTGGCACCTTGGCAAAGCATCCTCCTCCTCATCCCCCTGTGTGCTTGCTGCTCCTGGGACCGAGGCCCCTGCGTCGCTCCAGGCTCCGGGACCCCACGGCGCTGGCGGGCACTTCCTGCAGGGCCCAAGGGGTGACACGGGGAAATCCCAAATCACAAAGGGATGGTGGAGTCTCCGGGTTTGCCAGCAGTGTCCCGAGCATGGAAAGGCAC